ACAACTCCCATGGCTGCGTCAAGCCTGGAGAGATGCTTTTGGTTCTCGGAAGACCTGGATCCGGATGCACGACACTACTCAACATTCTCGCCAACCACCGCCGCGGATACTCTTCAGTCACCGGCGATGTCCACTACGGTTCAATGTCTCACAAGGAGGCGGAGAGGTATCGTGGCCAGATCGTCATGAACACTGAGGAGGAGTTGTTCTTTCCTACCCTTACCGTCGGCCAGACTATGGACTTCGCCACCCGCCTCAAGATTCCCTTCAACCTTCCGGAGGGTGTATCATCCAACGAGGAGCTGAGAGCGGAGAACAGAGATTTCTTGTTGGAGTCGATGGGTATCCAGCACACCTTCGACACCAAGGTCGGCAACGAGTTTGTCCGTGGTGTTTCTGGTGGCGAGAGGAAACGTGTTTCTATTATCGAGACGATGGCGACGAGAGGTTCAGTGTTCTGCTGGGATAACAGTACCAGAGGACTGGACGCCAGCACGTAAGTTACTCCCTCATCTGATGCTGTGGATGGAGGAGTGGGACTAATATCATTACAGTGCCCTGGAATACACCAAAGCAGTCCGTGCCATGACCGATGTCCTTGGTCTCGCCTCTATCGTCACCCTCTACCAAGCCGGTAACGGTATCTACAACCTCTTCGACAAGGTCCTCGTCCTCGACAACGGCAAGGAGATGTACTACGGTCCCATGAAGGAGGCCCGTCCCTTCATGGAAAATCTCGGTTTCATCTGCTCCGACGGCGCAAACGTCGCTGATTTCCTCACTGGTGTCACCGTTCCCACGGAGAGAGCCATCCGTCCCGGCTTCGAGAAGACCTTCCCCCGCACCGCCACCGCCCTCCGAGCAGAGTACGAAAAGTCGGATATCTACCCCCGCATGATCGCCGAATACAATTTCCCCACAACAGAAGCAGCCAAGGAGAAGACCAAGTTGTTCGAGCAAGGCGTTGCAAACGAGAAGCACAAGCAGCTTCCCGCCAACAGTGCCCTCACGACAAGTTTCATGACTCAGGTTGGGGCTTGTATTCAACGCCAGTACCAGATCATCTGGGGTGACAAGGCCACCTTCATCATCACTCAGGTGTCTACCTTGGTCCAAGCTCTTATCGCCGGTTCTCTCTTCTACAACGCTCCCAACAACTCTGGTGGTCTGTTCTCAAAGGGTGGTGCACTGTTCTTCGCCCTCTTGTTCAACAGCTTGCTGTCGATGTCCGAAGTTACCAACTCTTTCACCGGTCGGCCTGTGCTTATCAAGCACAAGTCCTTCGCCTACTACCATCCCGCCGCCTTCTGTATCGCCCAGGTCGCGGCCGATATCCCGGTCCTCATCTTCCAAGTCTCGGTCTTCTCTGTGGTTCTATACTTCATGGTCGGCCTCAAACTGACCGCCTCTGCTTTCTTCACATTCTGGGCTGTCGTTTTCGCAACCACTATGTGTATGACTGCAATGTTCCGTTCCATCGGTGCCAGTTTCTCGACATTCGACGGCGCTTCGAAGGCATCCGGCTTCATCGTTTCCGCGACGATTATGTACTGCGGTTACATGATTCAAAAGGGCCAAATGCACGATTGGTTCGTTTGGCTGTTCTGGATTGTGAGTGACTTTCTGGGATTTATTTGATCCGTGGTTGTTTTATGATTGATTTTCAATCATTCTGGTGATATTCCGGCGATGCTCCGGACATCCCGGACATCGGCGCCGGGGTGTGGGTCTCCGCACTCCGGACCGACTGGCCTGTGCACACGCACCTCCCCGAAGCACCACGTGAAGTATTTTGCTCCCGATCATTTGCTGACTATTTACTTGCAGAATCCCTTAGCATACGCCTTCGACTCTCTCATGTCGACCGAGTTCTATGGCCAGCTTCTTCCTTGCGTCGGCAACAACCTTGTCCCGAACGGGCCCGGCTACACTGACCCCAACCACCAATCCTGCGCTGGAGTTCCCGGTGCCACTCAAGGCCAGACCTCCTTTATGGGTGATCAGTACCTATCAGCCCTCTCTTACTCTCACAGCCATGTCTGGCGCAACTTCGGCATTGTCTGGGCCTGGTGGGTGCTTTTTATCGCTCTGACGGTCATCTTCACGTCGCGCTGGCGTTCCGCCGCCGAGGGTGGTGCTTCTCTCCTGATTCCTCGTGAGAACGCCAAGGTCACCGCAGCTCTGAAGAATGACGAAGAAGCTCAAACCACCGAGGATGCTTCGGGCAACAAGAGCGACAACGAGAAGCGTGATGCCAGCGGCAACACCAGTGGAGACGAGACCGACCAGAACCTCGTTCGCAACACCTCCATCTTTACTTGGAAGAACCTGACCTACACTGTCAAGACTCCCTCCGGAGACCGCAAGCTCCTGGATAACGTTCAAGGATATGTCAAGCCTGTAAGTCTTCATAGTGCCTAATGTTTAATAACGATTTGCTGACTCTCCTCTGCAGGGTATGCTGGGAGCTTTGATGGGTTCATCTGGTGCTGGAAAGACCACCCTCCTTGACGTCCTGGCCCAGCGCAAGACGGAAGGTACCATCCACGGATCCATCATGGTTGACGGTCGCCCTCTTCCTGTTTCGTTCCAACGTTCCGCTGGATACTGCGAGCAGCTTGACGTTCACGAGCCCTATGCCACCGTCAGAGAGGCGCTCGAGTTCTCAGCCCTCCTCAGACAGAGCCGTGATACATCTCGCGAGGAGAAAATCGCCTACGTCGACACTATCATTGATCTTCTGGAACTTCACGACCTGGCCGACACCCTCATTGGAAAGGTTGGCAACGGCTTGTCCGTCGAGCAGCGCAAGCGTGTCACGATCGGTGTCGAACTCGTCTCCAAGCCCAGTATCTTGATCTTCCTCGATGAGCCTACCTCAGGTCTCGATGGACAGTCCGCCTACAACACCGTTCGCTTCCTTCGCAAGCTTGCGAATGCAGGCCAGGCCGTTCTCGTCACGATCCATCAGCCTTCTGCCCAGCTCTTCTCCCAGTTCGACACCCTGCTCCTTCTCGCCAAGGGCGGCAAGACTGTCTACTTCGGCGACATTGGCGACAATGCGAAGACTATCCGCTCCTACTTTGGTCGATACGGTGCCCCCTGCCCCGAGGAGGCCAACCCTGCTGAGCACATGATCGACGTCGTCTCTGGCCACCTGTCCAAGGGCAAGGACTGGAACGAGGTTTGGCTGTCTTCTCCTGAGCATGAGGCCGTTGTCAAGGAACTCGACCACATGATCCAAGACGCCGCCTCGAAGCCTCCTGGCACCGTCGACGATGGTCACGAGTTTGCTCTCTCTCTCTGGGACCAGACCAAGATTGTCACCCATCGCATGAACGTGTCCCTCTACCGCAACATCGACTACGTCAATAACAAGTTCGCTCTTCACATCTTCTCTGCCCTCTTCAACGGTTTCTCCTTCTGGATGATTGGTGACTCCGTTGGCGACCTCCAGATGCGTCTCTTCACGATCTTCAACTTCATCTTCGTGGCGCCTGGTGTATTGGCTCAAGTTCAACCTCTCTTCATCGACCGCCGCGACATCTTCGAGACTCGCGAGAAGAAGTCCAAGATGTACTCCTGGATTGCCTTCGTCACTGGACTCATCGTCTCTGAGATCCCGTACCTCATCATCTGCGCCGTGCTCTACTACGTCTGCTGGTACTACACTGTTGGATTCCCGTCTGAGTCTTCCCGCGCCGGATCCACCTTCTTCGTCATGCTCATGTACGAGTTTGTGTACACGGGTATCGGTCAGTTCATCGCCGCCTACGCACCCAACGCCGTCTTTGCCTCTCTGGTCAACCCGCTGCTCATCGGAATCCTGGTTTCCTTCTGCGGTGTTCTCGTACCATACGATCAACTTCAGAGTTTCTGGAAGTACTGGATGTAAGTAATCTCCTTTTTATCACTTGTTTCTTGACATTTCGCTAATCACTTGCATAGGTACTGGATCAACCCCTTCAACTACCTCATGGGCAGCATGCTTGTTTTCGACATCTGGGGAACGGAAGTCACCTGCAAGGAAAGGGAGTTCGCCCTCTTCGATCCTCCCAACGGCACCACTTGCGCCAACTACCTGGCCGATTACATGATGGGCATGGGCTCCTCCAGCAACCTCATCAACCCCGATGCCACTTCCGGATGCAAGGTCTGCCAGTACCGTGACGGCAGCGACTACCTGCAGACCGTGAACCTCAAGGAGTACTACTATGGCTGGCGCGATGCTGCCATCGTCGTCATCTTCGCCATCAGCTCTTACGCCTTGGTCTACCTCCTCATGAAGCTCCGTACCAAGACCTCCAAGAAGGCGGAGTGAGCAATGCTCATTCTACTTCGACTCATCTCTCTTACCTCATCACTCTGATACCACACGCGCACTATTGCAGCATCTTAGATTGTACCACCTTCACGGGTAGATCTCGGGATAGCATTTGGGTGGACTCGTTTCTTTCTTGCTGTTTCTTTCTTGCATTAAAGCGGAACTATTCTCATAACGGGCTGTAGATTTCATGGGGGGATTCAATGTTTACTACATAATAGATGTCTAGGGTACATAGATTGGAATGACATCATGATGTCCAACGTCTGATACCCCGTTCGATGTTGGTGACGCCTTTCCTCAATGATTCGGACGAAGAGAGCAATGGCATAATCCACTCTCAACCCTTGTTGAGTTATGCGTTGAATAGTACCCTTTCATCAATACTCTCCTTACTTGTCCGGGATTAGATATCGGCAAGGAAAGCCTGAGGCATGCTGTCTAGCTATTTAGCGATGAAATCATTGACTTGTACCCCATCACGGCCGTCGTCTCTAGTTAGCGGACCGCAATCCAACAACATCTACCACAGCGTCCATCCATTCCTTTTTCAGCTATTTAGCGGCAAGCAAAGCCTCACACAACGGCACATCACAGAATGACCTTGAATGAGCATTAAGGTTTGTCATTATTTCTTGAGGCCACTTGTGCTGTAGAATGGCTCATCCGCTGCCTTTTACTGAGGATAGGTCTTCTCAACAACAACGCCACATGGGTAATAGTTCTTGCCCTCTATACTTCCAGCAACATTCATCAGTGTGTTCCAAATGCTCGTGCAGACAGGAAGTGTAAAAAAGCCAGGAGTCCGCACGCCTCCCGAAAGCATGAGCTCGTCCACAGGTCCACTGTTGGTATCCAAGGACATGTTGTAGCCGTTGCGGTTGCCGTTTGCTAAATAACCGCCATAGGAACTGATCACGATGTCGTCCAGCGTGATGCCACCCCAGCTCTTTCCATCCAAAATGTCATGAGTACCGCCAGCCAGAAGCTGGAAAGGTGGATCAGAGTCGGGAAGACCCGGGGTATCGGCCTGTACATCAACGTCTGGGTATTTTCCAATGGTCAGGACGTAAAATTGGTTTCCGTTCCAGCAGACGCCTGCCTTCTTGTGCGTGTCTTCGTCCATGTATGGGTCTAGTGTCTTCGGCATCGTATCTGAGCACACATCTCCCGTCTTGCTGTTGGGTCGTGTAAGATTGAGGAATATCAGAAGGTGCTCGATGCTAGAGCTTGGGAAGTTTTGACTTACAGCACAAAAGGGGTGAACCCAGCCGGTGCCACTGACCAAGCAATGGGAATCATTTGACCGAACAAGATCGTCTGGACGGTATTCTTCATTTCTGAGAGATTGATGTCGTCGGGGACCATGTTCATCATGCCATCGCGAATCAGTCCTTGGAGCATGCTGTTTGTGGTGCTGTTCGACCCCGAAAACACCTCTGACAAGTAGGCATCCTGAGTCTTTTTCCATACGTCGAAAAGGGTGCCCATTGCAGAGGTCAAGTCATTCTGGACGCTCTCAGAGTCTTTCGCGCTATCAATGGAGTGCGTTAGCCTCTTCTCTGGGAGCGTGTTGGCAAGTCCCATGTTAAATCGCTTACGCTTTGGTAGTATCCTTGGCTAGGGCGAATGAGGAACTGATGGCGCTATTGAAGGTATCCTTGGCGAAGCTTCTGTAAGCGCTCGTGGCGAAGATGGCGGCGTCATGGATAACTGCTCAAATCAGCAAAGGCTTTCAATTGTGAGAGTAAAACAGACTGACCAATGTTCCAAAGCCCCGCTGAAGATATGCCAATGCCAAATGCCAGAACATCAAGAAAAATCTTGACTATAGTTGACTCATCCTTAGCCTTCAACTTTGGGGCAAAGGCTCCAGTGAAGTCTCCCATCACGGCGGAAATACTGAGTTGGGCATCCTGTAGCGCCTCGTGATACTTTTGATAGATCTTATCACCTGTCAGTGGTTAAGCCAGATTGGACTTTAAGTCGCGTCTTACATCGTGCAACTTCGCGAAAGAATTCAGAACGAGAAATCTACATAAGAAGTCAGCCATGACAGTTTGTGAATATGAAAGAGTCGGGGATATGACATACCCTGCTGGCGTCTTGGTGTCGGCGCACTGGACTGTCGTTGAGCAAGGCGTGTTGACGGGATCTTGGCAGTCCCATCCTTCAGGGCCGCCGTAGAAGTCGCTGATAAAGGCTGGAAATTTGAGCTGGACTTGGCCATCTCCAGGTGTATAATTATGCCACGCAGCAACGGCTGCATCCCAAGATGTGTTGGCGTCGGCAGCTTGCCAGCGTATATTAGACGCAACTTTGGCGTCTGTGATGTTCGTATCGGTGCACTTGACCTCTTCCCAGTTTGGTGTGTTTTGACGAATCCAAAGTGTGGTTGGAGAGGCACTGGCCGTGACAGCCAGGAGAAGGAGCGCTGCATTAACCATCATTGTAACAAGGTAGAGACTGGCTGGGAAAGAACGAAGATACAAAGCAACGAACGACGGGTATCACGCGAACGACTGGGAAAGGAATCATGAGCGATCGCCGAATCTTGCAGACGCGAACCGCGGTGCTGGTGCCAGCCTATTAACATCGTCGACAACTTGCCATCTTCAACGCCCTACCACAGGGCCACGGTACGGGCCGGTGACACTGAGTCGCATCACAAGTCGCACGATTTGCTCAGCGACGAAGAATTCGACCACATGTGTGCTACAATAGCTGTCATTGGTGCCGGTTCAGCCGTGCCCACCGTAGATCTATGGAGTTCACGGTTCATCGGAACTGTCACAAATTTCATGCACATTGGGGGCTTTAATTGCCTATCCTCTTGTGTGGGTCGGCGGTACTATATAATGAAGTTAATATGAGGGTGCTCCTGGCACTGCAAAACTGAAAAAGCGCACACAGCCTTCAGACCGAGTCAGTATCAAGGAGCAACGTGGTGAAAATTCCACCCACGTGGTCATTCTTACTGGCCAAGGCGGAAACATGCTCGATTTGCAAATGTTCCTTCATTTTCTCAGCTTTTGACAAGTTTAGAAGTTCGACATGACGAAAAGCAATCGTGCCATCCCTCAGTTTCTTGAATGGCTGAAGGAGGTCCGAAGCGAGTCGTGCTCCGTATTTGTATTAGTGATGGCTTCGGGAAACGTGGGATGAAATCTCAAGCCAGGATTCCCTTAAGGTATTGCAAATTTCCCCGAAATTCTTTTAAGAGTTCAGTTGATTGCATGATCAGAGCTCATCGCACTGGCCAAGGGAACCCAACACGTCTTGTTTTTCACACCTTCGAAACACCCTGGGATACCGAGCATAGAGAAAAGCCAAAACTCGGCCAATACCGACTTCTTTCACACCATGAGTTCAAGCTCAATGTCAATGTCTTTCAAGCTGTAAGTGTTTCTCTTGCAACTAGTCTTGGCGTTGTACAGGAATTGACCGAGATGCAGCCTTAGCCTTCTCCTGCTGGTTTTCTTCCAGTGCCGATCAATTTTGGCGTCAGGATGCACACAAGTACACTGCCAAGTGACGGTCTGCGCCGCAAACGCCGACGAAGCATACAATGAAGCGAGTCTTGGCTTGGTAGCTATTATGGGGCCGGATTGTGCGAGCTGGCAACCCGGCTCGCCGACGAACGCGGGCCAGGGCGCTTGCGCAGCCGGCCTCTCGACCTTTACCGGCAACTTCGACATCTGGCGCGCCTGGACAGCGCACGGCGACGACTACTCGGCGACATTTGCTCAATGGGGCAATTTCATAGGCGCAACTTGTACGGGAGGCAAGACTGTCAAGTGTGATCCCAAGTCGGGCCAGTACCCCGACCCGACGAACGGGAGGTGTCAAACGCAGCAATGGTTAGTACCGTGGACTCTCGAACGCTTTTTGTTCGTCACTAACTTCTCGCAGTGTTCTTGACAAGTCGTGCTGAGACGTTTGAGATGACCAGAAACAGCTTGGTCTTGCATTTGTTCGGCGTTAAAGGTTTTGAGGATTTGAAGCGTTGATTACATGAGCCGGAAGATTACAATCAGCGAAGCGTTGCATCAAGATGAAGAATTTGAAATAGGATTTGGACAGCTGGGCCTGTATCATCCTGTGAAGAAGAAGGATTACATTCGAGTAAAGAGCCAAGCGAGCCCCTGGTGTTCAGGCAGACTTTCGAAGCTCCCGAAGCTGGCGAAGTTAATATCATACTATTTTGATAATCCACATACATTGATCCTTCCGACCCGCATGTTTCTGCCATTACTGGCATAATGTCTCTCGAGCTCTTCAGATATCTTCCAATTTCGAGGTTCTGATGAAGTAGTCTTTTTATGGCAACGTGACCGTTCCAGACTCCTAGCCGTAGGTATGGATTCACATAAGTAGCGGATTTACTTGCCAAGGTCTTTCAGGTTTTCACTTCGGCGAATAAGTTATGCTGGTGTATCACTGATTCAAATCAGACCAAACACTATGGACACTGAAACCGTCAGCGAAGCTCTCGGAGCGAAAGTCCGAGGGTCGGGGCTCTTACCGCCGCTGCTATCCGCGCCTGCCTCACGCGCTTTCCTGCCCTTCTCTCGTTACGCTAACCAACAGCCGACAGGTTTTCGAGCGTATAGACGTGCACGGAACCGAGCTTAGGATCTGTCTCCCAGAGAGTAAACGGATCTCGCTCCAGCTTCGGTGCAAGCGCCTGCACGACAGAAGCTCGCTCCGGAAACCCTTCGCGGTACAACCCGAGAATAACTCCTATTACGCACTGATATGTGATAATTTAGATTGATAGGACTGCTCCCATGAGTAGGAACGTCGGCATCGATGGGCTAAATGGTGGACTACCTTGCGAGGTTCTACAAAATCGTGATTAACCACTGCGTTATTTCTTTGGTTCAAAGCTGACACGTCCATTTGGCCTCAGTCTTCATTTAACTAGGCTATGACGAGGAAGTATTCCATAGCCATGATGCCATCATATCTGTCTTGTTTCTTCTGATTTAGTGAGACAAGCTTTGTACAGTTTTTCGAGAAATCTCTATCTCTGAATTTGGCAACGGCTGCATATTCTGACTTGTAATAGACAAGCTGGAATACTGAGCAGCAGACTAGTATTCCGCAAGCCCAGTAGCCATGTCGACTACGGGAACAGTCTTGGCGTAATTGACTGGATATGATACGTGATCATCGGGATTATCAATGTGACAAAATTGCGGTATCCTGAGTTGTTATACTCTGAGCAGGGCTTGAAATCATGGCAAAAGCAAGAATTGAGTCCCGATTGTTTCTGTATATCAACAGATTCTGTATATCAACAGACATGCCGCTGGAATATGACGGAAGGCCTTTTGAGACCATTATGAGAGGAGTGAAAAGACCAGCAAATATCGCGACACAGGCAACATGAACAGCAACGGAGACTATCAGAGCAACAAATCAGGACAGATACCAAAGAACAATAGAGATAAAACGTACGATCGAACTGAAAGATGGAGTTAACATAGTATTCCGCCTGCCAACCTAGAATCTGGTTGGCTAGTGGAGCTCTAGTCTGGGAAGATATTTGGGGACAGTCGCGTCAGCAGTCAAGTTGACACTAATAGAAGACCACGAGTGTCAATACCTCATATAGAGAACATGAAAGCTCAACAAGGAGCCTCTGATATCACTCAAAGGAGGCATATAGATCATGTGACAGATACTTCAATGTTTCACTCTTACATTCACATGTTGTGGAAATATGGTTCAGACAGGCATGAATGATCTTTCAGCTCACATAGTCCTACATCTAACCCTTGATATCCTCGAATAGTCTGTACAAATAAACACAAGAATTGGAATGGCTGAAAATACCCTTTTAATCCCGGCTTGCCAGGAAGCACAGTATTTGTTTGCAAGCCAACGTTTTCCCAGTCGATCACAAGCATGAAGAGCCGCTATTGCAAGCTTTCAGGCACTCAGCTTTGAACTCATTGTCACCAAGGCCTTCGAAAACGAGGAACTGCGTGTTATCGCTGAAGATTGAAAAGCACCTCTGGATTGTCATTCGTTAGACTTGTCCATCCAAACCGTTGGGCTATCTCGACTCACCCCGTCCTTGGGTTGGGAAGTTGGCAGCCCAACAGCGTTTGTCGGAATGTTAAAGAACTTCTGGCCTGATGCATAACCGTTACACGCTCTTGAAGTACACAGATCATCTCCGTCGCACTTGCAGCTGGCATGAGTGTCGGCCATTGCCCTAGTCATAGTCAGCAGGATGTGTGACATTAAGATGAAGAAACACTCACGCCAAAGGCAGAATTACAGAGGTAAGGAGCGTCAAGAGCTGCATGTTTTGTAATAAAGAAAGAATGATTCGTGATACTAAGACGATGAATGATGGAAGGGCTAGGGACACTCATAAGACAATTCAGCAAGGCCACAAGATATATAGCCCGGGAAAGATTTGAGAAGGCCGATTTTATAATGAACAGTTTGAAATCGGTATGGCGAACGGTCGGACTCCGAGCAGGCTTGAGATAAGTGATTCAAGTTCTAAGTCATTCGCATGATGGCAGGCACTCCATCATCCCGTCGGCTACTAATCAACGGCGGTGGCCTGGTCTAATGGAAAATGGCCAATCAAACAGCACATTGATCATTGGGATCCAATCGCGAGTCGAATAGAAACGTTGTACCCACACGTCTGATTCGAGATGCACGTATGCTGGATTAGATCCGACGGGATACTTTGTCTGAATCTCCTGAGACGAGTTCTTTTTTGGCGGGGATATGAGAACACAGTCCCATTCTTGTGTCCGGCCCTCAACGCAGGACATTCTCGGAAATATTAAGCATTTTACATACTTCGCAATGTTGCACTGAGATGTGTGAGTACTTGAAGCCCAAATGGGGTGTGCTTCTTGCTCCAAGCAGTAGACATGCAGAACAAGTTTTCTTAGCAACCGTTGAGCAGTACAAGTTGCGACGACAATCTGGACCACCGAAAACGTACTGTGGAAGGGTGCATCTTGCGCCATCCATTTTGATGTCGTCTATCCTATGGAGATGCGCATGTATCATCAACAACCGTCAGCCATGTCATCCAGCAAGCACTTACTCAGGGCCATGACATGTGTAATCTCGCCCTGTGTTAACATAGGAACCTTATGAGTCTCGAATTGTGCGATATGTCTCATCTGCCACTTCGAGAACTAGAGGAACCTTTCTCTCCAAATATTCAAGCCAGATCTTAGCTAATAGTAATACAAACCACTCAACTCTGATCCTTCACATAGTAAATAACTCGGAAGGGCAACGTTTACACCGGCGATGGCAACGTGACAATGGCTATCTCCCGATTCATTGTTCATATATATATCCTTACATTCTCAGGCATGACTGATATCTGAGCTCAGCTAGGCCGTTTGCAGGTTCGGTAGGACTTAAGCAATTCTGTATTAAAAGGGATGTGTGCACC